CTCATAGCTCGAAATTTCGGATTTTTCCTACTAGCTTCTTGGATCTTGAAGAGAGGTGGATTTAGTTAATGGAGAATGATGATAACAAGGAAGAATTGCAACTTCTTCTTGCTCGAACTTAGGCCGATTGCATTCCATACACGAATATACAAGAATTTTAAATAATGTGTATCAAAAATTAGAGTTAAATGTTTCACTGGCCACTGAACTTTACACTTCGTCACGACTTACTCACCCAACTTAAAAAATCATCCCAGTGGCCACTGAACTTAGGCCCGTTGCATTCCATAAGCCATTGGATGGATTCTATATGTAGATCTATCTACGTGGAAGACAGAATAGTGATGTGGCAATTAAAATTGGAATAATGTTATTTATCCTCATTGGGGTTGAGCCTCAATTTATGTGTCAATTACATGTAATTAAATGATAGACTCAATTAAATAAGTCATGTGACTTTGTATTTAAATAAATCTATCATTTAATGTTATGTAATTGTTACATAAATTGGGGTTCAGTCCCAATGGGAATAAACAACATTACTCCTATAAATATTCATATTCACTACTCGGTTCATAATAGAATTTTGCTACTTGTACCCCAGAGTCTAAAGGGTATATAAATATTCATATTCACTACCTGTGATTCAAAATATGATTTTATTACTTGTACTCCGAGCCCCTCAAAATAGGGGCCCACAATTTTTTTATTGGGCGTGAGCATCTTATTGTGAGGGTAATGTACATCAGGGTGTCAACTCAAGCGTACAAGTAGCACAACCTTTCGAAATAAGTCTAGCTTCATTATTTAAAATTTTAATTTTTTTTCTTAAACTCATTTTTAAAAACGCATTTCTCAATCAAATAATTTTTCACGTAAACTTTAAATTTCTTTTCTTACATTTGAATCACACATTTTTCAAAAATCACTATTATAAAATAAAATATATTCTTCCAAAAAATGGACTCAAAAAACAACTTTTGAACTTACGACAATTTTCTTTATCTTATTGTGTCATTAATGTTAGCTCATGTTTGGCCCCCTTTTTTAAAATTTGTTCTTTAAACTCGTTTTCAGACATACATTTTAAAGTATTCGCAACTTTTCAACCATTAGATGGAATTCTTTTACACGAATTCCATTAGATATTTTGGTCATCGTCGGAAAATAGGCACTTGACTCACTTCTGAACTAGTATAATTCAAAATAGAGAAAAATATCAACAATTTTTTTTTTTTTCAAAACCAAACAAGTTTTAATAGTATTTTTTGCACCAATAATTTGAGTTTTGATTTCAAGGGTATGTTTGACGGATATTATTTTGGAAGAATATATTTTGGAATAGTAGATTGATGGAGAATGTGTGGTTGAAAAAGAAGGAAAAGTTATTGATATGATATAAAATATTATTTTAATGAAGAATGTGTGGTTGAAAATGAGTAGAAGAATGAGAATGAAAATTTTAATGATAGTAGCATTTGCAACAAATAATAAAAAAATAAAAAATGGGCTCATTTGATTGCAATTGTCAAGACACACCAGAATCCAGTAACCAAGAAAGGAAAATGATGACATTCACATAGAAATGATATTTGTTACAATCACATAGAAATGATGACATTCACAATCACAACCAAGAAATGATATTTATTACAATCACATTCACATAGACCTCAGCAAACAACGAACCGTACAAGAGCAAACAAGTTCCGTACAAGACTAGGAACCATGTGCTTTCACCCTTTACCTACGCTTTTAAAACTTGGTGGTGTCTGCAGATTGTTTTTTCCCTTTCTTGTTGCCAATGATTTCTGTGTGTTTAGACCTCTGCATGAGATGATTTGAAATTTTTTTTTGAAGATTCATTCCCTTTTGCACTCTTCGGTTTCTTCTTCTGGATCAGATGTCTCGCTGTCATCCTTCCTGTCTTGCTTTACTAAACTGATACCTTTCGAAGTTTCTCTACATAAGGATTCGGTTTCTTCATCGTCGATCTCGTCTCCCTTGCCGTCCGAATATGCATAACTGGTGGGAGTTATTGTAAAATTGAGCAAAAATAGTTCCACGGAATAAAATGAAAATAATAATAATAATAAATAAATCAGAGAAAACGTGTCATTGTAAACCTACCGCTGGGAGCTTTGTGATGGTGCCCAGAGATAACAAATAACACAGAGCAAGGCAAATGCAAGTATGTCCCAGAAAGCATTGATAATCCAGGCACTCTGCCACCTCTCATTGAATGGATCTGTTGCTTTAAAGTAAACCTGCACTAATAAAAGTCGCCAATTAATGATTTCATGGTCATAATGATTGTACAGGAGTTTCATGAAGTTATCCTTAAGTTCAGGTAAAAAAAATCTTTAAGAATTGGAGAAACTCGCTCTGATTACAAAATTGGGAATTTCTATCTAGACATGGTATGAGTCAAGTGACAAACAAGATACAGATGCAAGGAAACAATTTCGTATATTCACCTTGATAAGACGCAATCTCTGTAACCTTTTATGATACGACTTGTTTTATATCTAAAGATGAACCGCATCAAAGGGTGTGAGAGCCACATTAATTGATTGCAGCGATCCTCTTTGTTCTTTAACCTATGCCTAACACAAAGAAAGAGAGAACAAAGGGTACTGGCGAGAGTAAGCTTTATAGAATGTAGTTGCGGCTGCGCAAATAATATCTTGAGATGGAAAAGGAGGACATTCAGTTTCTCTTTCCTTTCTTTTCTTTTCCCGTCGTTTGTCCTGGGTGCTCCAAAATTAGAGAGAGCTACCTACATTTCCATAACTTACCATTAATTGAGAAAAAAAAACTCATAATAGGGCGCATTAGCTCTCGTTCAACTACTTTTTCTTTTTCTTTTTCTTAAACTAGCAAGAAACTAATGGGTGAGAGCATAGGGGTCTTGAACTTGAATGGCAAAATGGTGGATCTGTCAGACTGTCACTATATATTTCTTTTTGCTTGATTTCACAAAACTCAATTATTTGCCTTATAATGTTGAGAAGATCCATCCATTTAGCAGTGCCTTGGGGTGACATGGCCTTATAAGGGCAAGGTGTTCAAACGAGGAAAGGCTTACGGTGGGTGCCTAGGCACCCAGAGACAGGGAGGGTGTTAATTGGATAACCAAACCCAGCATTTCTTGGAATACTGAAATAATACAATGCTACCAATAATTTACTACCCAACCCATATGTGCTATGGGTGCCTTTCTATATGCACATATTATTATCAGCACATAGCTTCAAAAAACACTATTTTCATTACAGTAATAGTTTACTCTTTTAGATGATGTAAAGCACTAGCATTTCAGATGAATTTGAGGTCTAGATCCTAACTTTTAAATAGAGAAGAAATAAGAAGCGGGAGTTTTACAAAGAATGTGCCAATCTATAATTTCCTCTCTTTTCATTAGATAGCTTTAATGCTAAAACAGAAAAAACACATTTCCTTCATAAAACTACAGAACCTCTTAGGCAGATAAGGTTCATTTTCATTTTTTAATCTCAAGACAAACTCTATACTGTAATTATAATCGTGCAGATACAGATCACACTAAACAAGCCCAGAATATATTGAAAAATGAGCTGAAAAGAAAATATCAACTAGAACTGTGTTTCATTCATGGAGTATATACCTCATATCCTATCCACACAACCGATGCAATAACTGTAACTGCCAACGCATTTGAAAATTTTCTGTAAATATCCAATTTAATAGAACTCTTTTTAGCCTGAAAAAGAAAAGAATTGTTGTCAGAACATGAAATGCTGAGTACTAGATTAACCAGAGAAGGATTGAGATTTCATGGCTACATATCAGAGTGAAGGTAAACAGAAGTTCAAACGGAAAATGGGATGTATGGTACCTGTAGTTGTTCTAGTGTCTTCGAAAGAGAAGTGAAAATCCATGAGATCAAAAAAGCATCCAAAAATGCAACAGGAAGGACCAGAAATACTCTTGCTCGCCCTGCTACGTCATTTATGGTTCCTACATACTCGGTGATGTTAAGCAATTCTGATGCTACGAAACAAGTTATTCCGAGGAGCAGCACCTTCGTTGTAAGACCACCAAGGGTTGGACGGACAACACCATAGCCCATTGCAACAGAAAGAATAAGAAGGCGAGAAACAGTTCTTCTTATAGCTCCAATTGTCACAACCCAGGTGGTGATTCCCACTGGCCTTGTTCCGGTGTTGTTAAAGTATGTGTAGTCAAGGTACCAGAAAGTCATCTCCAACAACCCAAGAGCAATAACGGAAGTAATGCAGTGCTGTAGTAGTAAAACATCATTCCAATGTCTCCCATATTGAAAGAACCAGATGAGACTGAGGATAGCATACCCGATGGACATAAATAAATAAAATTTCATTAGGGGGGCCATTCTCCCAGGTAAATAGCCATCAGGATTTTTCCACACTGTCCTCCCCGTCACCCTCATGCCTTTGAGTTTCTGATCACATGTGATAAAGAATAAGTTGTACATCCCAGTCCTTTTTATGTTAACTTCCTTGTTCTTTTTCATATGGGTGGATAACATGTTACCTCTAAAATGAACATTCACAACAACTGGCCAGTTATTATCAGTTGGCGAAGATGTTCTGATGACTTCTCCTTGTTTGCAACCTTCCAGCTTGGCAAGATCAGAGGTGCAACAAATAGACCTCTGTCCACCATAAGCAGATCCGCCAATATTATCGCGGTCAGCAGCCTCAAATATTATAACTTGAACCAACCCACTGCTGTAAGCCATATTTGGGTGCTGATCAGCAGCTTCTTTACTCCTCCAAAATGTGATGTTCTCGAATCTAGATTAATTTGAACATTTCACTAAATGTAACTAACAAGATACCAATATCATAACTGAGTTGAAAATAAGTCATAATTGCAGTGCTTTCATTTTCCTATCATGAACAGAAGGTTGACACCTTGGATGACCGAATACACACCTCGGGGGTTGGGCATTATTTTATTCAAGCGGGACTCACGCGCAATGTGAGGGCCGGTCACCTGAGGTGTCAACCATTTTCCGGTAAAATGGCTTTACTCAAAGATCGAGAAGATATTGCTCAGATTTAGTATACTTGCTGGGTGCTGGTTGCTAGCCAGAATAAAGAAGTATTAGCAAGCATCCTAAAAAGAAGCTGTGCATTTAAGAAAATAAAATATGTAATCCAATTGGCATGGATTCAACCCGAGGAGGCAATGCAATCCAAACATCAACTATATAGATTTAACGCCCCGCCCCCCCCCCCCCAAAAAAAAATAATAATAATAATAATAAAAGGAACTACATGCTTTAACAACACATGACGTATAACAATTATAAACCCCAATAATTCGACCATCTAAAAACTAATGCCAATGCTTGATGAAAAGGAAAATTCATACATGTATGAGGCTAGATCTGATTAAAATATCATTGCTAGTTCATACATGCACGCGATAGAAATCAGTAATTACCGAATGTAAGAGCGACCGGCATGGCTGCGGGGAGCAGGAGCGGTGACGCCTTCACTGCCGCCGGAGAGTAAATAAGCAGTACCAACTTCTCTGACTGGATCCCGATCGTAGATGTGAATTGAGGCTTCAGCTGATCTAAGAGCTGATATAAATAATCCTACATAAAATAGTGAGATTAAAATGGCGCATTGATTTGAAGTGCTGCTCGCGAAACCCATGGGGGCGCTAGACAAACAGTAAATCCCTATTTTATGGAGAGAGAAAGAGTGTATCGGAGAATTCGGTGGAGCATAGGGTGAGTGACAGAAAGAGTAAACTGGAAATCAAGCAACCGACAGAGATGACCTCTGCAGGAGGGATATATTACCACGCGCCTATTTAAACCGTGTGACTATTACTTTGGTTCGAATTTGTCGTTTTGAGCCAAACTTTAAAATATAATCATGACGTTAAAAATAGGGAAAATTTTGGTATTTTTAAAATTTAGAGTTATAACTTCAATCTATATGAAATGCGAATTTAATTTAATTTCATACATTATTTAATATATCAATATCGAGCTGTAACCTCAGTGATACTAAGACCCGTTTGTCTCAAAAAAAAATAAAAGACCCGTTTGTCTCAAAAAAAAAATAAAAGACCCGTTTATCTCCCATTACTCTAAACAAACTTGCTACATGTACAATATTTTTGTACAGCATATGTTACAAGCCTCTCATATGGAGGGTGGGGCCCACGACCGCGGGACCCACATTATGTGAGAGAGTTGTACATTGTACATCATTTAAAAGCTGTACAAACAGCTTTATTGTATTCCAAAATATTGTTTGTTATGGTAAAATTTTACATCGCACATTCACCTAGTAAAATATTCTACACACAAACCAATAAAGTTACTTTAAATTTCAATAATACATTCTCCAAAAAATACTATTCATCACTAGCAAAAAAGTGCATGGCTAACCGTCAAAGTCATATTAAAGCCATGAACGAGAAGGTCCAAAATCAATTTCCCGAACGAGAAGGTTCGAGTACATCTTTCCCTTAAAAAATAGAAAGTGTCGAGGAATTTTGTCGATTTTTTCTTTATAACTAGAAATAAAGCTTGTTTAGGTGGGTTAGAAAACATTCAAAATAAGCCATACATTTGTAAATGCTTATTTTTAAGCATAAATAAGCACTCGCATGTTTGAATATGTTGTGCTTATTTACAAGGTTTTTGTAATTGTTAAAAATAAGCCTTTTTTTTTTTTTTTTTATCAATTCTTACTTGGAAAAAAAATTAAACAATTTAATTATACTGCAATTTTTGTGAAATTGCGTCTGTAATGAATAAGGTTGTTTATTGTGGAAAGCGCAAAGTTGAAAGTAATTGTTGAGATAATTAAAGTTAAATTCGACATTCATCTCAATATCTCGTTACAAGTTTAAACCTAAATTGTTTCATTCTTTTTCTTCCATACACCTTTTTGTGTGCATGACAAATTCATCTTTGTTAGAATTTGGGTGTGACTCGAATTCTTTGTTGAATTAATTAAAGAATTTTAATTAAAGTGCACAGAATTCAGTTTGGAATGCTATTGGAATCCTATGTCGAGTTCAAGTTTTATTTTGGAAACCCATTGAAAGTTGTAATTTGTTTTGGACTCGATTTTTTGATATCCTACTTCATCAACAACTCTACTAGGAGAGTTTTGACATCCCCTACACATTCTCTATAAATACTAGGTTCTTTTTATACAATTTTATGGTGTTAAAAAATAGATTACTAAAATTAAAGGATCTATTGTAATTTTCTCTCTTTTCAATTATTTTTGAGTCAATAAAATATTTTAATTCCTCTACAATATTCTTGTCTTTATTATTCTTTTACTTGATCATATACTTCATTATTACTAGGTGCAAGCAACGTGCAATGCACGTTTGCCTAGTTTGTATTTAATAGTTTTGTTTAAGAATTAATTTGTTATTAATAAAGATGTAATTTTTTTGGTTAATTAAATAATTGATGATGTAAATGTTTATGTAATTGATAAATAATTAGATGTGTGATTTTGATGTTGTGATGTAAGTTGGTGAGATCGAAGAAAATAAGCAAAAGTTGACAAATTTGGAGAAATGGCTAAATTGTAAGGGATCCAAAGTTCGGGGACTAAAATGTAAATACTTAAAAGTTGTGCCGAACCTCACGATGAAGATTTGAGAGTG